CGATACTGCACAGCCAGGTATCAGGGCCAAAAAAATGGCATCGGCGCGGCACTAGATATGAGGAAGAACTTTCCCACGAATCGTGGTCAAAGTCAGGATTGTATAAAAGCCTCTATTTCTGAGCAGCTGCCATAGAAGGTTTGGATCGTTTCTCACCTCGACTTTGTCATGGTGCTTATTACACTAGCAGACAGCTTTAATAAGCACCTTTAGCCCAGGTGCGGGGAATAACAAACTCCTGCAGATAATAACTGGTTCTGCTGATGCTCCTCTGACCTCCTGCAGATGAACCGCTGTGGTACCCAGGCTCCCATCTGGCTGTCGCTGAAGGACAGCTCTCTGCCTCGACCCGGCCAAACCCGCCAGCTCTCCGCCTGCGCCACCTGGCAGTTCTTCCAAGGCAGCACCAAAGACTGCTGCCTTTTCCGCATCCCCATCACGGTGAGGAACTGCGGCGAGTTCCTGGTCTACTATCTGCAGCCGACGCAGGGCTGCATGGGATACTGTGCTAAAGGTGAAAATTGGGACGTTTTTTTTTTTTTATTTCTAACAATGTTGATGATAAAAGATTATCTAATTAAACTCATGTCTCAGTTGCTCCAGAGTTAGGATCTAGAGCCTGTTTACCAGGAGAAGCAGATGTTAACGGCCAATGCAAAGGTATTACTCTTGGAAATTTAGAACAAAATCTTTTGCAAAACATTCACATTTCATATAAAACCCCTAAACTATGCATGCACATTCCCAGCTCTGGTCCCTTCCTTACCTTCCCGACCGGTGATCACAGCAGAGCTCATTGGACACAGCGTCCACCTCCGGTGCTCCTTTGTCCCGCCGCCCTGGAGCCAGACGCTGGGCTTCCAGGTGGTTTGGGCCAGACACATCAGTAACAAGATGAAGGTCGAGATCAGGCAGGAATCCACGCTGAAGCACTTCTCCCTGGTGGAGATGGATGGCGTTCACTTCCGGCTGGGAGAAACGGTAATTTTCAACAGACTGTGTTGGGATTATTGGAGGGAGGGGAGCACATGTGGAAGGCCTCAGCCTTCGAGCAGCAGCATGAGATATGGATCACACTGAGCTAGTTTATGTTTTGTGCCGGGCTCAGTCCGAGAAAGTAAAAGCAGACGGTTAATGTTTTTTCAGACTGAGTTAGAAGAAAGCAAGTGGAAGGTGGAGAAGTGAAATCAAATGCAGGTTGGGAAAAGCCTTGATGCACGTGGGTTTCATTTACTTACACCACAATCTTTACAGTGGATTCCAGCTACACATTGACACAGGTTAAAGGGGTTGAACACCAAGTGGAATTAATATTAAAAAAAAGGGGAGTAATTAGACAGGAAATAAAATGATAATGGAAAAGGGCTGAAAGTTCAGGAAAAGGAAATGAAGACGGCTCACACCTTCACAGCTTTTCAGTGAATAAGCCCAGAAACCCCAGCGAGGGAAACGCAGGGACATCTGGACAGAGTCCATCTATCCGTCCATCCATAGAAGAGCATTAGGCAAGGAAATAATATAAAAAGAAATGTAAACAAATTTAGCCAGGAAGTTTTAACATACAAAGGAAAATAAATGGATAGGCACCAGAACCTCAGGGTCAATCTATACTGTTCCAACAGCCAAATGAACAAGCAAAACATCCATAATTTCTAAATAAAGACAAACTATACTTTCCTACAGACTTTGCTAACAAATAGACGCATACGGTATATGTAAACATCCAGGCTTTTTAGATAAAAGGTAAAGTGGATCAAATTCTTTCAGGTTTGAGTTCTGGAGCTAACATCTTTTCCATTGTCATTACTTACCTACTTTTATCAATAATCATTCTGCATAAAATGTATTTTTACAAGTACTAATATATCTACATAAATTGATTATTTAATAAGTTTTTATAAAGTATATAGTTATTTATCTATGATTTCACTAAAGACTCCTAGATGAATGCAGAGACACATAATTTTCTCTTTACCCCATAAAACACAAAATGTAGTTCTGAAAAGAGCAGGAATTCTGTACTCATCTTTAATGTTAGTATATTGACGTTCATAATTAACCACAGTCTTTTAGTTATCAAGTAATTATGAATATCTGAAAAAAATAGTAAGTAATATATGGAAATGTTTAATGTTTTGAATATTCCACTTGATTATTAGGGGGAAAACAATGGTAGGGGTGGCCACAGGGGTGGCCAATGATTGACTAAAGGTGGCCATGGCCACCTCTGGCCCCCCATTGAGCTCTGCCCTTGAGTTTGACTATTTTTTCCTGCATTTGGTCGACTCATTTTGCTTCTAACTTAAACGGAAGCATTTAAAAAAACTATCAGGCAGCTGAGGACAGAACCATTAGCCACTTTTGAAGTCCTGTTTCATGTTGACCTTGTTCTAAACAGAAAGGAGAAAGGATTTATAGATTAGATATGCATTTCTCCCTCAGTGATCTTACAAATCTTTGTTTCTTTGCAGTTCTCATGCAGTGTGACGACATTCAAAGTCAACTCCAACAACACCAGATCCTCCATAAGAGAAAGTGAAAGCTTCTACGCCGGGTTAAAGGTAATACTTTGGTTTCTCTCATGATCTTAATGATTAAAACCAATTTCCTTCACCAGCTTAACTTATTTTTCCCTCCACAGTTTTCTCCCGACTCTCTTCATATAGCAGAGAACAACAAGGAGCATGAGGTAACCGTCCACAGCACGGTCCCCATTCCATGCTTCAACTCTGACCTCGGCCAGCAGTGTGGAGTCCCTCTGGCTCTGAGCGTCCATGAACCAGGTCAGATCTGTGAGGATAAATCCGTTAACAGCTGCTTCATCTGTTTTTATTACCAAATAAAGGAGGCAGATGGAAGCAAATAATGTAATATCCACATTTTAACAGAACAATTGCTTGATTGCTGCATCGTTGCTGACTTTTTAAAGCAATTGAAGGTCTCTAGACAAGCTTACATGCAGTTAAGTCCGTAGTTTTTTAATTAATGGATGAAGGGCTCTAATGGGAAGAGAGGTTAAATTGGAATCTTGTACCAGGAGAACCTCACAGCACCATCGCACCTCAGAATAATATTCAAATTAGGATCCCCTACTCTAAAGTAAAACTCTGGCCATCAATAACAATATTGTCATCTTTTAACATCCCCATAGGTTCCTGCATGGACACTGGTCTAACAAAACATCCCTATTTTGTGATCCTCTATGCAGATGATATCTTATTCGCAGATTATAGACATGCAATATTAAAACATGAACATAATAGCAGAAATCCATTACCTTATTCCCACATGTGCTACTTTTGTTTCGTCTGCGGTAATCAGCTCTGTTCTTTTGAAGCCAAACAGCGGGACTTAGCTGCAGATAAAAACCTAATCTGATCTGGTTATTCACTGGAATAACCAGTGATCACCTTTTGCCAAAAGGTGTCAAGTATTTGGTATTTACTATAGTGCAAAGATTTATACAAGTACTCTTGATCTCTGGTTTCCAAAAATGAAAGAAATTAGTATCTGGAACAAAAACATCAGGGACCTTTGTTCCCAGACAATGCAAGACTTCAAGGAAAAACTCTCCAACTGCGATACAACTAATGGCAATATCCAAAGCTCAATGATGACCCACAATGAAGATGCATCAGCAAGTAATTTCATGTACTTACTGATGGGGGAAGACTTTCACAAATGAACCCCAATTTTGAAAAAAAAAAAGAAAGAAAAAGAGGGATCATGCCTCAAAAAGGACCAAAGACAAATACCATCATGGCACCTCAATGGTAACACATGGAACAACAGATTGGCAGTTGTTGAGAGCGAATTGTAGCTTTAAAGACTCCTGTTTCTAGACTAAACAAACAGCAGCAACTCAAGCTTAAATACAGGCATCATGTCCGGGTTAACTGAAGTGTGAAGGTCTTGTGTGGTCTATAAAAGTTACTGTGAAATTTTCAAAATGTGAAGGTCTTGTGTGGACAGTGCATTGGTGATAATGTAAGCCTTAAGCTAAGACTTAATAATTTCATAAAGGATTAGTATGAAGGTTATAAAGTCCTCTGCTGGAATCTGTGTTTTTGTTTTTCCTGACAATCCTGTAAATCATCACATCAAAGCCTGCTGAGAAGTTGTCATTACAGTTCAGTAGACATCTGTGCCATCTGTTAATGTTAACTAAACACCTTGTTGACATCCACAGACAGCCTTAGGCACGAGGTCCCCAATGTGGTGCTGTCCGCCTGCCAGGTGGAGATGCAGCCGAAACCCTGCAGCGATGGCGCCTGTGGAAGCGCAACGTTTGTCCTCACTGCTGTGACAGATTTCACACGTGATGGAAATAGACTGAGCCTGGTCTCTGCTTTGCCTGGACCAGGTGCACCAAGACTCTGGAGGAGCTATACCCCAACATCTATGAAGGTGGGCCTTCATAGGGAGAGATTCATGCAGTGGATTAAATTACCACTGACAACATTTTTGGTTTGGAGATTGCACTTTTTGGATATTTTTCCCCATCATGCCCTCAGCTTCTTTCAGCAGTAGAAAAATACATTTTCCTGCAAAAACGGTCATTCTAAAATTACTAGATGTACAAATCCTCCCCACCCACTTGAGTCAGAGATCTCAGTCTGGGTTAAGCCGGCTTCACTTGCAGATCTTCCAGGATCTTTCAGGATTATTTTATGAAATAATACCGCTGTGTGCAATTTATTAAAAGTGATCTTGTCTGCTACCAAAAAAAGCTCAGGTCTCAATTCAATAATATCTGACATGTTGGGTTGTCCTAGCCGAATATTGTACCATATGTGGCGTTAGGAGCAAACTGTTCAATTTGATGTGTGGCCAATCAGAAAGGGTTCTCTTGGGAGGAAAAATAGAAAACTGGTCTGGTTGCTTTGATTATATTAATTTGATTAAGGGTCCGAGTTCTGAATTCTGCATTCCTTGAGACCATGTCTACCAAAAGGGATTATATTATATGTCTGTTTATTTTATAAGTAGGGTCATCAAACATTAATGAAACCTAATTTTAGCTCTAAACAATTATCTGAACTTTTTACATCTTTAACTGAAATTGAAAAAGCCCAGATGTGTCCGCCTAACCTGTGCCCTTCTTCCAGGTCATTGTCCAGGACATTCCCACTTCCATCTGTTACTCTTTGACTGACCCACATGTCATCACATTTGATCGCAGGTAATTAATACCTCAAAATTGGTTCCATAGAAACAGATCAACTGTATTAAAACCATGATATTGTCTTGAATCTGCTATTTCTAGGCGTTATGAGAACCACCAGACTGGCACATTTGTTCTGTATCGAAGTCTTGCCAGGAGGTTTGAGGTCCATTCTCGCCAGTGGGACTGTGGAAGCAGACACTGCTCAGTGGCCTGCAATTGTGGCGTCGCTGTGCAGGAGGGGAATGACATAGCAGTCCTTGACATGTGCAATGGCCAGCTTCAAGAAACTCGACCTCAACTTATTTTAAAGAACCTTGGAGATGAGGGTAGTCGGGTCAGGGTCCTGGAATCCCATCAGGGAAAGAAGGTCACCGTAGGTATCTGAAAATTTTACCACATCGTTTTTGATTAAATTGTGCTTAGATTATGGATATTTACTTCCACCAATATTAACTCCCATGTTGTAGTTCATCTTTCCCTCCGGGGCCTTTGTCAGGGCAGATGTCAGTGACTGGGGGATTAGCTTGTCCGTGAGAGCCCCAAGCATCGACTTCCGCAACACTCAGGGACTGTGTGGAACCTTTGACCGCAACAGCAGCAATGACTTCCATGGTTCAAACAGTGGCTTTTACGCTACTGAACAGCTGGATCGCTTCATTGAGGACTGGAGGTCAGCAAATTAAACTTAAGAGAAGGTCTTTGCTTAAGACCCGATTCAATTGAAGTTCCTGATTCTCTGATGCATCTTCAGAGTTCCTTGATGTAATCGTTTTCATTTCTTTTGTGTTAGGATAGCTCCTGGGGAGAGTTTATTTGACAGTACACCACATGTGATCACTCAAAAGGCCAGGCAGCCTTTTTGTCAGTGCCACAAGGAGTATACCCCCTCTCAACAATATAGTAGAGGGATGGTACACAGTTATTCGGGTCACTCTGACTGCACTGCATACGATAATGTGGATTACACATCGGTTTTTCCTTCCATGGATACAACAGTGGAATACATTAAGAGCCCCAAAAGTCCCCTGCATGACCTTTGGATTAAAGGGGAGAAAAATCAACATGGCGACAATTTTGGACTGGATGAAGAGTTGAGGGAAGATCTGCTGCTTTCCGTAGAAAGACCAAAGAGACAGGCTGTATTTGAATTTCAGCCAGTCTTTGTCGCTCAAAGCCTGAGCCAAGCAGATTTGGAAGGTCTTTCCTATTTTTTCCCTGAAGATCACCTGGCAGAAGCTAGACCAAAAGTTCAGCCCAAGTGGCCTACACCGACGGGGCTGACGTCAGCCAAAGCCCTGGAGGTATGCAAGCTGGCCTTGGTCAACTCCACTGTTGGTACCATGTGTGGAAGTCTGCTGGGACGCCATCTTGACGAGGCGGTGGATCTCTGTATGATGGATCTACAGCTGAAGGATGACTTGGGCTGGGAGGAAGCCCTCCTGCCCTTCCTGGAGAACGAGTGTGAAAGACAGCTGCTGGAGAATAGGACCCAGCGGGCCATGGAGGCTCATACTTCACCAGGTACCTCTGGTGAAGTGCTGATGGCACTGCGTTGCCCAAACTTGTGCAATGGTAATGGAGAGTGCACCGAGTGGGGTTGCCAGTGTTATTCCAGTTACAGCAACCATGACTGCAGCCTTGCCATCAGTAAGTATCTGTGAATAATCCTTGAACATTTTCTAGAATCGGTGAATTGTGTTAATGGCATTACAGAATTGTCAGTTTGAAATCTAGTGAACAAACAACTCTTCCAACAGGTCAGCCAATTGAGATAACCGATTTGGAAAATGGTGGACTATGCGACATCCGAACCTTTGACTGTCGCAGTGTTCGAGTCTTTGGCCTGGGCTTCATTGATTCTGCGGACCTGAGCTGCCTCGCCACAAGACTGAAGGTGAGTAAAGGCAAAGTTGGGCTAAGAGGCCTTAAGACAAAAGCATTGTTGCAGTTTCTTTCTCAACTTCCTCTACAGTACATTAACAACGGTTGGATTCCAGAGGAACAGCACAAGACAAAGGCAACTTTCCTCAGCTCCAAGACTTTGGACTGTGTTGTTCCCTCACTTAGCAGCACCGCCATCAATACAGAAGACTTCATGATGATCAACAAACCATACGCACGCTGGGACATCAAGGTACTATATTTACCTGTAGTTTTTTGGTCGTTTTCTAAAAGGTATATATTTATTTTGGTGCTTTATCTGGGTTTTTAGGTGACCAATGATGGCTCCCAGTACAGCCAGGCAAAGATTCTGACGATTTATGATGGCGCTTGCCAGGTCTGCGAGGCATCAAACTCAGGGCTGTGTAAATTAAAGGTAACCGCTTTGTCAAAAGGGGTTCAGTGTTGTTTTCCATTTCACCTCACGAAAATACAACAGAATATGACAGCAATATGCCTCCAGAGGATTTCTTGCAGCTTTCCCTAATGCTATGGAACTTTTTCATGTGATTTCAGGGGTGTTCAGTGGAAGAGTTTTTGCTTATAGTCTACATGGGTCTGACTAAAAGCAGTCAGTCATTTTATGCTTCTTGCTTAACAGCTGCTTTATTTAGAGACTCTAAACTCCTATAAAATAGTACAGAGGGGTCTTTTATCATTGCTGGGAACCATCGTTTATATGTCTGCAAATAGGCAAACAACCTAGAGTGAAAACAGCCGCACAAACAGCCGCAAAGATGAGTCAAAAAGATGTGCAGATGTTTAAAAAGGATGTGAGGAGCAAGAAGCGCATGATAGTTATATGAAGCATTAAAGGAATAGTACACCCAAAACATGATTAGCCTTCATTTTCTACTCACCCCCATGCTGAACAACACTCTGGAGTACTTTTTTGATATCTCAAATGCATCTGGAGATCTGGGAGGCTTCTTGCTGTCTGTTGACATTCAAATAATGGAGGTCTATGGTGCCCGAGACAGAAAGGTCCATAAAAGTCCACAAAAAACGTGTCAATATTCCTCCATACTGCTCGTCCAATGTATTCCAAGTGTCCTGAGTGGGTAGCATCCAGAATTTACTCGAAACAAAGTCATTTAGAATGTTTTTAGAGCATAAACAGTAGTGTATAGGATTTCCTGAAAGCGCGCGCCGGCGCGTTCATGACGCTACGGAAGCCGACAGACCAAACCACATGAAAGTGCGCATTCAGCGTCTGCTCTGCCAATAATGCAAGCATAGAAGAAGAAATGTGCTGTTTACCTGTGCAAAGAAAGAAACAACGAAAGAAAAATGTCTGAGGACTTCAGTGTTGAGGAAGAGCATGAGTTCTTTGCCGAGCTGAATGCGCACTTTCATCTGGTTTGGTCTGCCGCGGTTTCCGTTGTGTCGTGAACGCGCTTTCAGGAAATCCTATACACTACTGTTTATGCTCTAAAAACATTCTAAATGACTTCGTTTCGAGTAAATTATGGATGCTACCCACTCAGGACACTTGGAATACATTGGACGAGCAGTATGGAGGAATATTGACACGTTTTTTGTGGACTTTTATGGACCTTTCTGTCTCGGGCGCCATAGACCTCCATTATTTGAATGTCAGCAGACAGCAAGAAGCCTCCCAGATCTCCAGATGCATTTGAGATATCAAAAAAGTACTCCAGAGTGTTGTTCAGCATGGGGGTGAGTAGAAAATGAAGGCTAATCATGTTTTGGGTGTACTATTCCTTTAATACAATATTAGAGCTGATTTCCTAATACTAACATATAGTTTGTTGCAAAAAGAAGATTGTTAACTTTTTCTGTTTCCTTCATCTTTGGTTCTAGGAGAACTCTTGTAACATTGATGGGATGTGTTTTGCAGCCGGAAGCATCAATCCCAGCAGCCCTTGCTTTATCTGTCAACCAGACGCCTCCAAATTCACCTGGTCTTTAAACCAAGGTATGAAAATCATTTAACTGAAAAATAAAAAATAACAGCAGCTGATGTAAAGTGAGGTAGAACTGCATGAAACTGCGTATATTAGCAGGATTCCTGGCTGGCTGCTGCTGTAGTGGGAGTCCAGCTGGGATCCTGTTTGTCTCCATTAGCAGATAAAAGGAGCTTTCCCAGCATGTTCTGACCTGTCGTTTAACCACTGCTGGGGTAGGAGTGGGGGTAAATCACATGTTTGATCCACACAGCAGCACAGAGGGACTATCATACTGGGAGAAGTGAGGCTACCCTGCAGTAAATGTCTAAGTGAATCAAGTGTTATTCCCATAATCAGCCCCTGATCTTAACCAAAACACAAAGCACCACCAGGACCCAAGTACTTTATCTTGACAAGTTAAAGTCCTCACAGGTTTCAGAGATATGATTAAACCAGAAAATGGCATTAATCATTTCTCTAACTGACATTAAATCGGACGTTTTTCTTTTTTGAGTCGGTCAGGATTAGCAAAAGTATTGTTTTGCACCAACATCAGCTTGTGGCTTTTAGTGAACCTGGTCATTTCTATAAAGATGAATCCACCAAACAAAAACGGCATTTTGGAGAATTTTGCTTTTGATCAGAAACTCAAATACAGTCCTTCCCAGTTATCAGTCCTGGTCTGGTTTCCTGGTTCGGGTAAAATGTTTGTTGGAAGAGGATTGGAGTAAGAACACCCCTCTAGGGGGCGCCGTTCCCAATCAATAACGCAGTTGGATAACGCTTCGACCTGGATCATCTCAGCTAGAGACAATTAGCAGAGGTTTGGACATTTTATATTAATCAGCCATTGAGGTAAAAGGAGTCTCAAACTAGCCAATTAAGAGTTATTGTTCTGGGACACAGAGTTACTAAATATAGATGAATTCATCCTTCTGCTATCAGTAACATTAATACTAAAAAAGTGTTTTAACAGGTGATAATTTAAAATCAAAGCAGGTTTAAAAAAAAAAAAACACAAGATGCTTTAAGAAATCCAACATCCTAAAGTATTTTAGACATACAGGAGACTCTCGCTGCTTTTAATAAGAATGTTGATGTTTGACGAATCAGAAAGAGGTGGAACAAGTTTAACATCTGTGGAATATTTGCACCAAATAAACATCTGCTCTCTGAGGTCAGACTGAAGTTTCCCCAAATAGAAAGCAAACAAAAACCTGGGGTCCCATTTATCAAAGACTGTGCAGGATCCATATTAAAAATGTGTGTACGCCCGGGAGGTGGAAAGCAAAATATTCTTTAAATGTATTAAACTATGCACAAAAAAACTACATTTGCTAGAAAAGTCCCAGCTGCACAGAAACAAGGCTCCACCTTCTGTTGGTCCCTCTACATGCCGACATTAAACCATCAAAGATCCATGCAAAGCAAAGCACATCCAAAATCTGCGCACTCATGAATAAATAGTGCGAGAAAAACCTCATATTTTCAAACCAAGTTTGTTTTTAATAAATCACAACCTTCCATTTTAAACATATATAAGCTTGATAAATTAAGTCAATATAGTTTATTTCTATAGCGCCAATTCTCAACACGTCATCTGCAGTCAAATTGATTCAAAGTTTTCTATCCAAGGAAAACCAATTGATTCCATGGACTAATTTACTCGGAGGCAATCCCTCTCACTAAGCATGTTTGTAGTGACAGTGGAGAGGAAAAACTTCCTTTTAACAGGAAGAAACCTCCAGCAGAACCAGGCTCAGTGTGAGCGGCCATCTGCCGAGGCCGACGGGGGTTTAAGACAGAAGCGGAGATAGAAAAAGCAGCTGTAAAATGCGACTCCGTCCAGGAACCACAGTCAGGCAGACGAGCTCTGAGCCAGCTCCCATGTCAGAGGATGAAGAGAGCACATCCAGCCAGTCACAGTCAGAGAAACAGGACTACACTGAAAAACAGGCCAACCTCCAACATCTAAAAACAAAGGTGGCAGCAGCACAGCTGATATTTCTCTCCAGGATGGAGTCATCCCATGCTGTAGCAGCAGATGTGTCTTTATAAACTTTGAAATATCAGATAAACAGTGTAGACTAGTGTAATGTTATGGCTGAAAAGGCATTTAATGAGATTAAACATTAGAACTCAGTGAGTTGCAGGAGAGCAGAGCCACTTTGGAGATGAAAAAGTCAAATCTCCAGGGTTGGTTCATGCTCCTCTGCTGTAAGCCAAGCAGTATTAGAAGCATGATCCCTGTACAGGAAGCTAACTGATCTTGGATGCTGCAGCTGGAGACATGAGCATGCCTGTTTACAGTGACTCATCCAGGAAAGGCCTGGTCGTAAAGAGTCTCCCTGAGCACAGGAAGCCTCTGTCATCAAATATCAGAAGGTGCAGAAGAGTAAATGAGAAGGTTGGGATAACCAGAGGTGTTGCTTTGATATCCCACCGGATAACAGTCGTTTCTGTTTTCCAGTCAACGAGCCTCCATCCTTCCACCTGCCTCAGAGCGGTTTGCGCACGTTCGCCGGAGAGAATTTCGTCTTCCAGTTTGCGGCGTCTGACCCTGAGGGGTCAGCTCTGCTTTTTCAGCTGGAGGAGGGGCCAGAGAAGGCGGTTCTCTCTCCAGCTGGCCTCCTCATCTGGAGGGTCCCATCAGTTCAGCTGGAGGAGGTGGTTCAGCAGACCTTCACTTTCACTCTCTCTGATGAGTGCAACGCTCAGAGCGCCTTTACAGTGGAGGTAAAGTTAAATAAAGCAGCAGGGTTGATACAGTCAAGGCTTCATCAGCTAATTTTGTGCATCGCTTAGGTTGATGTGGTGCCATGCGGTTGCCTGAATGGAGGGACATGCGTGACAGACGTCAGTTTTCCTGCAGGCAGTGGAAAGTACTTATGCGTTTGTCCTGAGGGCAAACAGGGCAAGTTCTGCGGAGAGGAGGTAGATCCATGTTTGTCGTCTCCATGTGCAGCCGGCAGGTGCATCCGCACAGCCAGCGGGTACAGATGCGACTGTCCCGTCGGCCTGAGAGGTAAGAACAGACGGGTTTTAACACCAGACATGAATACAGAATCTCTCTGTGACATCATCGGCTTTTGCTTTTGTTTGCAGGCTTAACATGCCAGGAGGACATCGATGAGTGTGACAGGAATCCATGTTTTCCAGGAGTCCGGTGCTTCAACAGCATCGGCTCCTTCAGCTGTGGTCCATGCCCCAAAGGCATGCTGGGAAACGGGACAACTTGTACAGGTACGATTGGAGTAACTCCGTTTTCTCACCAATAATTACCGTTTTCATGATTTTTCTCATTTAAATTATAGGTCTTCCTTATAAATCAGGAATAATCAAATTAACTAGAAGTAAAGATATTTCCCTTTATGTGGCACAGTTCTAGATCGTTCAAGTTTACATTTCTACACTGCAAAAACGACCTAGAAATAAGTACAAAAATACTTAAATTAAGAGAATTTACTCT